CACAAGCACACAAACACAAAAGCACACAAACACACAAAGGACCAAACACACAACGACGCAAACACACACACACACACACACACACAACGACGCAAACACACACACACACACACACACAAAACACACAAACACACAAACACACAAACACACAAACACACAAACACACAAACACACAAAAACACACAAACACACAAACACACAAACACACAAACACACAAACACACAAACACACAAACAAAAAAACAAACAAACAAACAAACAAACAAACAAACAAAAACAAACACACAACCATACAACCACACAACCACGCAACCACGCAACCACGCAACCACGCAAACGCACAAACACACAAATGTGCAAACAGACAAAACACACACAAAGACAAACACACACACACACACACACACACACACACACACACACTCGCGCGCGCGTAAGTAGCCCGTAGCCCAGATGGGGTCCTTCTTTGTCAGAACATGAAATACCAGCGTCAAAGAAACGAAGCGGCTTGCAAACCCCGAGTCATGCAAAGGCTTAAGCCATCATTATTGAAGAGCTTGTTTGAGAATGTCCAACAAAAGCTGCTGAGTGGTTGTTGAGAGTGCTTGTAGATTCAATGGCTTCCACCTCGCCCCCGAATGGATGGCCTCCTTGCACTGATACCAAAAAGTGGTCCGAATTTCATGTTGAGAAACCCAAAGGGATCTCCCAAGTTTCACCATGTTGTTTATTCTGTTGCAACTACCCCACCCAAATCCTAAGTGAGGTTGTTTTTCACCCCAAGGCCCTCAGCTTCGAACATGTTGAAACCACCGGAGAAACCTCCAGTTTCCCTCCATCCTCAAGCCGAAAAAGTTGCAACTCTGGTTCCCCAAAGAGCCTTTTTCCCGAGCGGAGCAAGATGTTGGCGGAAGAAAAAAGACCAATTCGTGTCACGCCAAAGCCCGGGGAAGTGAGAGGTCCAAGAAACAAAACATCTCTCTGGGTATGGGCTGGCGAAAAAAACTGACTGTTCCTTGCAGACCAGTAAAAATGGAACAGAACCCAAAAACTAAAAAACCGGAAAAAAGAAAAAAAACATGCCAAGAACAGCGAAGAAAAGCTTGAACAAACAACAAACAACAAAGAAGCACCAAAAGCCAGCTCTTCCAGCAAACAACAAAAGCTTCAAACTTCAACCAACAAACAAGCAAACACCAAGCAAAGACCAAAAGCCAGCTCTGCTTCAACCAACAAACACCAAAAGCAATTCTGTCCAGAGCTGCCGGCGTGTAGCCGCTTGAAGTCCCATTTGTCGCACGCTTAAATGGAATCCTTCGCCCGGTTGGAAATTTATCGACTCAAGAAACTTCACTGATTGCAGGGGTCCCTTGATGTTTTTTGCCTTGTTGGGACACTGGATGAATACTTGACACTCTAAGCTACACCCAAAAGCACCATTTCAGATTCTGATTTAACTATAACCATCAATTTGGAGGAGACCCCCAAAAAACGGCCGGAGGGCTCCAACCAAGACCAACGCACGCCAACCCGAACCCACGCGGGAGCCGCCTCTGTAGAGGTGCCCAGCACGGTGATGGCCTGCTTCGCCTGCGCTAGCGCGAGGCTGCGGCGTGCACGGCCAGAAGCATGGTACAAACGATGGGCATGAGCCCTGGAGCCTGCGGACCATTAAATCCAAAGAGGTACCCCTTTTTGGGCCGACAATCCCTTGGTAGCCCTTGGTAGCCCTTGGTAGCCCTTGGTGGCCCTTGGTGGCCCTTAGTAGCTTTTAGTAGCCCTTGGTAGCCCCCACGTGGCAGCCTTTGGCAGGTTTTGGTGGCCCTCAATGGCCCTTTGTGGACCTCGGTGGCCTTTGATAGCCTTGTTGGGCCGAACAAGTTGTGTTGAAGATTCAACATTAAAACCCTTTGGACATCCTTGGGGTGGGGATTCATGTCGTTCCCTCTTCAAATTTAACACACGGACGAATGCCTACCCCCCCCCCCAAAGCCCCCAAAGCCCCCCAAAGCCCTTAAGGAACACTTCACTGGGGTATTTGGACCTTGTGCCGACGGTGACCATCTCCAGAAATCCTGGTTGTCCACATTCCCATTCAGAAGCCCCGAGTGTCTACCATCCCCCCAAACCCCCCGTCAACGGGGGGGGGGAACAAACCAAAAAATAAAGCACCTCGGCACGAAATTGGTTGGAGGATGTCCACAGGACCCAACCCATCAAAATCATCAAGCCCAAAAACGGGCTAAGACACAAGTGGCCTGAAGTTCCCTCTAAACCCTCCAAAAACTGGGCTGCCCTCAGATCCCCTGCTAAAAGTTTAACTTTTGGCGGGATAAATGGAAACCCCCCACTAAACCCTAAAAAGCTAAAAAGCTAAAAAGCTAATGGGATGGCTAAAAGCCACCAAGAAAAAGATAGGGGTTAAAGATACGCTCCAAAACGCAACACTCACATCCGCTCAGCTGCACCCGCTGTCCCCATGTCCAGTCCAGAAAGCTGCATTTGATTTTATTTATCATTTTATTTTATTTACTTTTTTAAATGGAAAATGGAGTCAACCCCTCGCAAACCTGCTCGGTCTACCTTCTGTGGGGTTTAAGGGGTTACACCAAAACCCTGCTTGGAATCACCCTATTTTTAGCCATGAGCTGGACTTAGGTTCGAAAGCGAATGGGTGTAAATCGTAATTAAGTGGTTGCACCCTGTCTGTGGACAACAGAATTCGGTGGGGATGAACAAGTCCACCAAGCACCGTTATAGGTGGTGGTAAACCACGCTTAAAGACTTCGCAGCCAATTGAACCAATCGAAGCCCTCGAAATCAAATGAACCCCCATGGGTTTGTCTTTTTTGAGGCACTTTTTTTGGGTGGCATTACAGGAACACCAAAAGACCGAGCCAATTCAGGGGGGTGTCCGATTCCAAACTAAACGCTGCACAACAACTTCCATTTGCTTTTTCGACCACCCGGAAAACAAATTATTCCAGTGGTGAAATCGATTCCCAACGTTCAGACCAACCACTTTCAAAAAACATCTTCGTTTCAGCCAAATGGGAGGTTTTACCCCCCGCCTCTCCCCCCCAACTCCCCCCACCTCTCCCCCCACCTCTCCCCCCGCCTTGCCCAGCACCCGCAAGTTGCTGAGGTCCACCGCTTCCACCACCAGGGACCGCGGCAGCTCCGAGGTGGCCACCTCCCGCAGCCACCATCGGCGACATCTCCCCCCTTTGAACCGGACACGTGAAAACCTCCGGGGAGACCACCGGGGTAAAGCGCCCCACTTGTGGCTTTTTGGGCCCTGGGGGCGAGAAAAACACACAGAAAAACCAGGTGAGCAAACCGGGGCAGGGCGAAAAACCACCAGAAAAAAACCAGGTGAGAAGACTGCTTGGGGTTTTAGAGGGCCAAGGGCTAAACCGGACACCCCAAGACAAGTTGGTGAGAAAACGCTTGGGTTTTTAGGGGACCCCGCTCGTTTTTGTAGGTGTCTCAACTGAACCGGATTGGCCCGGCCTGGAACCCTCCGAGAACCCTTCAGGACCGGCGAAGACTGCACAGTCGCCGGGGAAAGAACAAAAGCGAATCCCAACCTGATTTCAGATAGGTCGACGTGAAGTGGTTGTTCAAAAGAAATACCTTCTCGCATGGAACAGGATTCCTGTAGGAAAATGCCTTTCAGGAAAGCCCGGCCAGGTGCCATGTTAGTGGGAGGGTAACAACAAGAGTGATAACAAGACTGATGCACATGCTACGCATGATGAAAATAATCAATCATAGCAGGGCAATGAGAACAATAGAGAGAAGAATACGCTTGAATTACAATACGAATAAGAGCAAACATGCAAACGCAAATGGTAATGAGGCGAAGGAGACGAAGAAGAAGCAGGAGAAAAGTAAGACTACTAACAACAATAATAAGACCAAACAACAATAACACAAATACAAGAATAAGGACAAAACAAAAGAGGGTATTGAAAAATATTGTTAATACAATTGTGGTCATCATGACAATCACGCTACCTACGACAAATAAGAATGAGAAGGCGCATAATAATGATGTGACGAACCTAACTACACCATAGCGTTTAACACACGTCTGCAACAAGTAATAGGAAGCAGCATGAGAGTAATAAACACAATACCATGACAAGGAGAATGACAATAATCCGCATAAAACAAATAACACAAAGACCACCATTTGTACACATAATGACATAAAACAAGAGTACGAATAGTAAGATGGATAACAAGAACCAAGATAACGTAAGAAACACAATCATGACTAAAACACAACAAAACAAGTAACAACACTCTAGTGGATGGGTCCAAACACTTGGTGCATGCCACTAAAACTGGTACAGTCCAAACCCAAAAAGGCAATCGCAACGGTCGCCTCCACGCTCACCCCCATGCGGCAAACGTCAGTGAAGCGGAGCACGCGGGGCAACAGCGGGGTGCCGTACCTCAGGTCCAAAAGGGGAAGATGCTTTAATGTTAGCCCCGGATCTAAGTAGAACCCCTGGTTGATTTTGATCGGGGGGGTGTTTTTTTTAGTGGGGGTTCAGCCCACTTTTGGAGGGAACACCCCCTAATAATTGGACGGGCTCTACTTAGATCCTGGGTCAACATTACCCCACCGACGATTCCATGGTTTGGTGCCTTCGGACAACTGTAGAAAGACGACTTTCCTCGAATGATAGGGGGCGAATGTGCACTTCCATAGTTGGTTGGCGTTGAAAGGAAGGCCAAGAAGCCCACCTTGGGCAACCCGTTCTGAGGCTCATTGGGTATATGTTTTTGAGACACAGGCATTACGAGACCGTGGGCCCATGAGAGCAAACAATGGGAGGTGGTTTGAACGAAGGTGGTTGTCACAGCCCAACTCTCCAATGCTGAACCCCCCAAACTGCTTGCTTTTTTTAGGGGGAACAAAAACAACACCAAGGCTGGCTTCTGAACACGGGCGAAGAGCATGGGGAAATCAACCCTGGTGACAGAAATTCCTCCGTGGGGATGAACTGGTGGTCACAAACCCCTTTTATTTTTGGGGCCTTTGAACCCCCAACAAAATCCCGCAACAAAGTCCTCCACGGCGGCCAAAGAAACAAGAACAAAAGTGGCATGGGTTTTGGGGTACCGCCCTAAGGAACCGTGTCAGGAACCTAATGGCCCTAGCATCGGAGTCCCAAAAATACTAAAATTGACTGTCCAACACCAAACAAATGAACAGGGCAGACATCCGCACCGGCAAAGGGGACTGGCCCTTCATCACCCTCACCTAACCTTCCATTTGGTTAAGACCCCTGGAAAAATGATCATATTTCCAGTAGTGACACATTCCGTTACATTCTCTTTAAAACCAACAGGGGGAAAATAACAGATATTCTTAAGCAAATGGAATGTCCGGCAAAGAATCCTCGAAATTGTTGGCTGAACAGGGTCCACCTGCCAGAGGAGTCACAGTCGGATGGGTGAGTTGTTCTCCTTTAGGTCGGTTGAACCGAAAAGGTCTGGCCATGTGAACCTTGAAATGCCGAGGTGCTCAAAAGAGTTCCCAGAAAAGGGGGCCCCCAAAAAAACTGTCTGGACCCAGAAACATCTGCTTCGGTGTCGTATGAATCTCCCTCAAAACCCGACAAACAAATCATGCCTCCCACTCCCTCTAACAACAAGAACAAGAAGAAAGGAAAGGCGAGCTTCCCTCAAAGACCCAACAAAAGAAGAAGAAATTAGGCGCCCCTGCCCCCCCCCCAGTAGGCCGACCCCTGCGCCGCTCTTTGATCCCCGAGGCCCCGACACCTGCTGCTCGGTACGCACGGAGCTCTCGGCGGCGCCCCAGGACCAGTTGCCGGCCTCGAGGCAGGCTAACAAGGTGGGTCCATGGGTCGGTCCATTTTTTGAGGAATGGGAATGGAACCCAGGCTTTTTTGAGTCGTAACCCTCCGTTTTTTTGGTGGTTTTTGGAATGGAACCCGAGCCTTCTTTGGTGGTTTTTGGAGGATATGAAAGACAAACCCACCGTTTTAGGGGGGCCCACTTCCAAAAAGACAGACCGAAATGAACGGAAGGAACACAAATTCGAGGGTCCCAAAACGAGCCTCCTCTAAGGGATTTGTTTTGGATGGGGGCTTAAAAAGCGAGGTGCCTGCTTTCAGATTTGCGTTCAAAAAAGAATGCAAGGGAGCACACACAACCTAATGAGTTCAAATGACCCCTCTGGGATGGGGAAACTGGAAATCAAATGAAACCAACCAGTCCTGAGAGGTGTTTGATTTAGAGGCAGGTGGAGACTCCCAATAACGAGAATGGCATATGCCCGTTCTTCATTAAAAAACAAAAAAACTCAAAATCATTCCTGCTCTGCTTTGAACACGTGCACTGATGCTTGCAACTCAAAAGTGGACGCTGGGTGGCATGGAAAGCGAGCCTTTCTGTGTTCATTCCCATCCGCGACTCCTTTATGACTTGGGGGAATCGTTTGAGCGCCCAAACTCCGAGCTGACTTTTAACTAAAAAGGCCTAGGCCGTACCAAAGAACCACAACAAAACCAGGTGGTTTACACCATCTATGTTGGGCGGCAAAACAGGCCTTCGTTTTGTGAGCTCTTGGCTGTCCAAAACCACCTCATCTCAGATGTTGATGTTGCGGTCCTCACACTTCCCAAAGACTAGCCCCCCATATGGCCGTGGGTTAAAAAGTAGGTAACCGAAATGGACCACACCCATATCAAGGGGGAGACTCCCGCAAACAATCGCAGCGAGGCTCTGAGAGACTTCCATAGGAGGTAATTCTTTCAAGTGAGATCCCAGGAACATGGGTCGATTCTTACCCTCTACAAGAAGGGGTCCTGCTTACCCTCTACAAGAAAGGGTGCTTACTGTTCAGATCCGCAAAGCACCAAACCGCCAATTGAGGGTTGCCTGATATGGCCATGGGGCAAAACCCAAATCGCGCCCCCAGTGAACACAATCCAACCACAAAACTAGATTCTAAAATGGGTGGTGAATTCACCTACCCCAAAATGGGATGCCATTGGTTTTGACCCACAGCCACTTGGTCGGATGTCCCGCGATCTAACCGTTGGAAATTCCAGGAACCTCAAGCTAACGGACGAGATGTGTATATGGCTGGCTCGTTTTGTTGGAGTTGGTACACCTGGTTTTGTGGCTTTAAATCGAAACCAAAAGGAATACCGAACCATTTCGGGGGTGTCCCCCTAAAAAAAGACACGCCAAAAGTCTTTGGCTGTGGTAGCAGGTATAGGGCCAGCAGGTGTAGGGCCAGCAGGTATAGGGCCCTCTTCCTCTCTCTGTTTCTCTCTCTATATCAAAATCGATTGTGGTGGTTGCAACAAAATCTAGCCATGGCCACTACACAAAGGAAGAATGAAGCACCTCTTGACTTCTGAGTGGAACATGTCTCCTCAAAATCGGCACACTGCAGGTCTTTGGTTTCCCCGCCCATTCACCAGAATCCACTAGACCTGGACGTGAATGTTTGGATTCTCTTGGCGCCTCCTGGGCAAAAAAAACAAAACAAAAAAACGCGTCGCTCGCGCGCTCTTCGCGTCAGACGCGCTCATCGCAGGACTCGGCCTCGCTGGAGACGGCGACCACGCGCACCACGTAGGTGGAAAGGTCCTCCGGAAGCCTCCCAGTGGGTTTTTTTGGGGAAGAGAACCAAAGCGACGGTTTCGGAGGTGGGTGAGGGTGGGTGAAGGTGGGTGGGTGGGTGGGTGGGTGGGTTGGGTTGGGTTGGGTTGGGTTGGGTTGGGGTGGGGTGGGGTGGGTTCGGGTGGTGGTGGCCAGGTTGACACAGTCTCCCTTCAAAGTGCCGCTGGCTATTTGACGCGCTCCGAGGAGACCCAGTGCCTTTTTCTCATGCCAGAGCACCTGAATCGGCGCATTTCCTGGCGCAACGACGATCCGCTGCTGAAAGTGCACGAAGTGCACGATCTGCAGCTGGAGACGGCGCCAGGGCGACCTGAGACTCCAGAGCCTTCAGCTTGGAGACCTGCTCGTAGACGATGTCGCGAGTGTGCAGGTTGAAGTCTCTGTCCTCCTCGCGCCTCTTTTCGTCCTTGGTCTTCCATTTGCTGGAGGCGAGGCAGCATGTCGCTCTTCATGCGCTCGCAGCTTTGCCGGGCCTCTTTGCGAATGGTCTTCAGGGTCTCCACCATGGCTATCATGACACTCTCAATGGCCTGAGAGGGCGACTGCAGAAAAGCCTCCTTGAGCTTCGCTTGCTCCCTGGTGGCCGGATCTCTCGGTTTCGGTCTTTGGGGCCGGCTGGGGTTGGGGGCACCGCCTGCAGCTCTCCCGTGGCGTACAGGCACCACTCTACGTCAGGACCGGCTCCTCCGAGCGACGTGGCAAACGTGCCGGTGGTGTTGCCGGCCGCGTCCTGGAGCGGCCAGAAGGGCAGTTGGAAAGCCTGACCCTGCAGGAGCTCGCAGCCGGCAAACGGCGATGCGGCCGCCAAGTGCAAGTACAGCACAGAGGGCATGGTTCCTGAAGGTTTTGAAAGGCCGGGGCAGATTATCGAGAGCCGGGAATGTGCTGCAGAACATAAGGCAAGGTGCAGGAGCAAAGCAACACAATGCCTGCCGCACAAAGCCAAGTTGAGTCACGGCGAAACCAAGTAGAGCAAACCTCTGGGATTCCGACGCTTGAGTCGAAGTCCGGATTTTTCTCAACGTTGGTCTTCTCATCTTCGACAGGCGGCACCTGCACGGGGGCGGCTCTGCAGTCTCGATCTCCTACCCTGGAGCCACAACGGCCACCGGGTGTGTCTGTGTGTGTGTGCGTCTGGTTTTTAGTTCCCCCTGAGGCCTTCTTCCTGCCAGGCACAGGACAAGGTGTTCCTCAGTCTGGAGGCCCGTGCCGCACCCGCGACCGGGTGCCTCGAGCAGGCGCGCGCAGTCCTTTTAATGACACTCGCTGTCATGTGTGAAGGCCGTGGAGCTGATCGAGTTGGAGGGCAACGAGCCCTCCTGCATTGCAGGCTTCAAAGGCTGCGCGCACAGTCTCCCGTATGTGGCCCGGGCCTCGGAGCAGCACGGATGGCAGGTAATGCAAAAAGTTCGATCGGCCAGGAGCGTCCAATCACCTGCTGAGCGAGCGCAAAGGTCACTGCAGGGACCGGCGCTCCCGGAGGAAAAACACCCTGCGCAAGAGAACTTTTTGCATCGGGTGCCCGTGTCAGTGAGACTAATTGCGCATCTCACAGATTGCTTCTGCTCATGATGGGCGAGCTTTAGCGAGCCCTGCTAAACTGTAGAGTCTAGGAGCCTTTTTTTGACCCTAAACCCTCATTTCTTTGCAGTTTTTGCCAAAATTTCAACTTGCCAATTTTTCCAACTTACATTTAGGTGAAAACTTGTCAAATTTTGATGTAATTTTGACTTTTCTCCCTGCGCTTTTCCCTTGCTGTTCCTTGCACTTTTCAGCTTGTTTGCCTTTGTTTTCACTTGCTTTCTCTTGCTGGTTTCTTGCTGTTCTCTTGTTTTCTCCTTCATTACTTGTCCTTTTCCCGTGCTGTTTCTTGCTGTTGCTTGCCTTTCGTCCTTTGTTTCACTTGCTGTTTCTTGCAGTTTGCTCACTGTCTTTTCTTTGTTTCTATCTTGTTCTTTTTTGCTTTTCCTTGTTCTTGCAGTTTTCCTTGTTTCCTTCTTGCTGTTTTCTGCAGCCCTAAGCCCTAACACCGTCTGGGTGTGGTGTGCCCTAAACAAACCCCAAACCCTAAACCCTAAAACCTAAACCTGAACCCTAACCCAAATCTAACCGTCTGGGCGGGTTGTGGGTGGGTGGTGGTGGGTGGGTGGGTTGGGTGGGGGGGGGGTGGGGTGGGGGGGTGGGTGGGTGGGGGGGGGGGGGTGGGTGGTGGGTGGGTGGGGGGGGGTGGGTGGGTGGGTGGGTGGGTGGGTGGGTGGTGGTTGGGTGGGTGGGTGGGGGGGGTGGGTGGGGGGGGCCTGTTTTGTTTTGTTTTGTTTTGTTTTGTTTTGTTTTGTTTTGTTTTGTTACCCAAACAAACAAACTAGAGGACGATTGGCCCGAAAGCATTTTTCCACAGGCGCTCATCCAGCCGCGGAGACACCTTTTTACATCGCTGCGGCGAGCGTGTCTGCGCGCGGCGATGCTCAGTGTGTATGGTCACATGAGAGCTCCATCTCATCATCCTACTTTCCTCTCGAACTGCGCCGCGCGATTTCTCACGAAAGTGGTCTGCGCAAGCTGCATTGTTCCAGGCTGCTGCGCGCAAGTTGCTCTCTGCAAGCTGCTGCACGCAAGTGCTCTGTGCAAGTTGCTCTGCGCAAGTGCTCTGAGCAAGTTGCTCTGCGCAAGTGCTCTGCGCCAGTTGCTCCGCGCAAGCGCTTTGCGCATGTGCTCTGTGCAAGTTGGTCTGTGCAAGTTGCTCTGCGCCAGTTGCTCCGTGCAAGCGCTTTGCGCATGTGCTCTGTGCAAGTTGCTCTGCGCAAGTGCTCTGAGCAAGTTGCTCTGCGCAAGTGCTCTGCGCCAGTTGCTCCGTGCAAGCGCTTTGCGCATGTGCTCTGTGCAAGTTGGTCTGTGCAAGTTGCTCTGCGCAAGTGCTTTGTGCAATTGCTCTGTGCAAGTTGCTCTGCGCAAGTTGCTCTGCGCAAGTGACTCTGCGCAAGTTGCTCTGCGCAAGTGCTGCCGGAGCTGTGGGAATGTACTTCGCATACTATTTTTGTACTTAAAAGTTGCGATTTTCCAGCCGGAGCTGCGGGGGTGTGCTCCGCGTACTACGTTTGTACTTTAAAGTTGCGTGGGAGCACGCTCCGCATACTACGTCTGTACTTAAAAGTTGCGATTTTCCAGCCGGAGCTGCAGGAGTACGGTCCGCGTACTACGTTGCGATTTTCAAGCCGGAGCTGCGGGGGTGTGCGCCGCGTACTACGTTTGCACCTAAAAGTTGCGATTTTCCAGCCTGAGCTGCGGGAGCATGCTCCGCACACTACGTCTGTACTTAAAAGTTACGATTTTCCAGCCGGAGCTGCAGGAGCACGCTCCGCGTACTACGTTTGTACTTAAAGGCTGCGATTTTCAAGCCGGAGCTGCCGCGGACCAGGGGGGAATCGAACCCGCGACCGCGGGATTGCGAAAGCAGGCGCGCAAACCACGAGACAACTTCCAAAGGCCGTTTCGCGAGCGACGCGCCACAGCGAGAGCACTTCGACACGCACAATCTCCGCAGAGGGTTCGCCGAGACTAAAACAAATTCGCACGGCGCCACAGCGAGAGCGCTTCGACGCGCACGATCTCCGCAGAGGGTCGCGCGCGCACCGCAGAAATCGTAAAAAGTCCTCAGTTTTTGAACCTCGACCACGCGAATCTCCGCAGAGGGTCGCGCGCGGCCAGCAGAAATCGTAAAAAGTCCTCAGTTTTTGAACCTCGACCACGCGAATCTCCGCAGAGGGTCGCAATCCCGAGCGACGATCAAACTCCCGCCCCGGCGCCTTAGAAACCTAAACTAACTTACATAGCTGCTAACGCCGAAGCTCTAAGCTCTACCTAACCTTGGCTCTATGTAACTTGGCTCTATGTAACTTGGCTCTATGTAACTTGGCTCTATGTAACTTGGCTCTATGTAACTTGGCTCTATGTAACTTGGCTCTATGTAACTTGGCTCTATGTAACTTGGCTCTATGTAACTTGGCTCTATGTAACTTGGCTCTATGTAACTTGGCTCTATGTAACTTGGCTCTATGTAACTTGGCTCTATGTAACTTGGCTCTATGTAACTTGGCTCTATGTAATTTGTCCAAGGGCTCAGCACGGAAGAACCCTTCGCAATGCTTTCGGGAACAAACAAACAAACAAGCAAACAAACAAACAAACAAACAAATCACCAATAGTTGCCGCGTTAGAAACGTACGGCTTGTAGCTCCGTTCCCCGAATGCGAACTGGAGCCAGACTCTTTTGTGCACGGCCTCGCTGCTTGCGAGCAAGCAGGTCTTTCACGTGCAAGCCAGAGCTCTCAGGGCCGCGCATTTCCAGAGTCTTCGTAGGTGGGGTGGGGTGGGGTGGGGTGGGGTGGGGTGGGGTGGGGTGGGGTGGGGTGGGGTGGGGTGGGGTGGGGGGTGGGGTGGGGGGGTGGGGTGGGGTGGGGGGTGGGGTGGGGGTGTGTGTGTGTGGGTGTGGGTGGTGTGTGTGTGTGTGTGGTGTGTGTGGTGTGTGTGGTGTGTGTGGTGTGTGTGGTGTGTGTGGTGTGTGTGGTGTGTGTGGTGTGCGTGGTGCGTGTGGTGTGTGTGGTGTGTGTGGTGTGTGTGGTGTGTGTGGTGTGCGTGTGTGTGTGTGGGGTGTGTGTGTGTGTGGTGTGTGTGTGTGTGTGTGTGGTGTGTGTGTGTGTGGTGTGTGTGTGTGTGGTGTGTGTGTGTGTGGTGTGTGTGTGTGTGTGGTGTGTGTGTGTGTGTGGTGTGTGTGTGTGTGGTGTGTGGTGTGTGGTGTGTGGTGTGTGGGTGTGTGTGTGTGTGTGGGTGTGGGTGTGGGTGTGTGTGTGTGGGTGTGTGTGTGTGGGTGTGCGTGGGTGTGGGTGTGGGTGTTGGTGTGGGTGTGCGTGTGCGTGTGCGTGTGCGTGTGCGTGCGCGTGCGCGTGCGCGTGCGCGTGCGCGTGCGCGTGCGCGCGTGCGCGTGTGCGCGTGCGCCTGTGCGCGCAGCGCGCGCGTGCCCGCGCGTGCGTGCGTGCGTGCGCTGTGTGCGTGCGCGTGCGTGTGCGTGTGTGCGTGCAGTGCGTGCGGTGCGTGCGCGTGCGTGTGCGTGTGCGTGCGGCGTGTGCGTGTGCGCTGTGCGTGTGCGTGCGTGCTTGCGCGTGTGCGTGTGTGGGTGGGTGTGGGTGTGGGTGTGGGTGTGGGTGTGGGTGTGGGTGTGGGTGTGGGTGTGGTGTGTGGGTGTGGGTGTGGGTGTGGGTGGTGTGTGTGTGTGTGTGTGTGTGTGTGTGTGTGTGTGTGTGTGTGTGTGTGTGTGTGTGTGTGTGTGTGTGTGTGTGTGTGTGTGTGTGTGTGTAGGATACCCTTTTTGGATTGTCTTCGGGAGATCAAAAGGGAAAGCCTCACGCGTTTTGGTGTTCTCCTGAGACAAACCCAAAAGGGTGCAAGTTTGCAGTTTCAGCTCTTATTCATCTCTTCTTCATTTATACTTGGTTGCCTTTTTGATAGAGTCGCCGAGTCGCCAATCAAGACTTCATATGCTGCGTCTACAGGTGAGTCTCTCCATCTCCCAAGCCGCTCTGCAGAATCTATGAGAATCCCATGGCCCATCTCTTCCTATCTCCAATTCTCCAGCTTGATTTGGTCGAGGAAACGTGCCTCCCAGGATATGTTCCCGAAGCCGAAGCCCAAAGGATGGGAATCAAAATCCCCCGGACATGGTCCCCATCTCTTCCCCATCTACGAATTGGTGGAATAGAGATGAAGCCATGGGCTTCTTCTTTTTTCTTTTTGCTTTCTCACCTAAAAGACCTTGTAGAAATGATCTTCAGGCTCCCCTGGTAGTGGGTACCCATTTTGTTGCTTGTCCCTTCTGGTTGGAAAACGAGACGAAAACGTACACGCAGCGGAAAATCAGCAAGCCGCCTCCGATGGCTTGGGCGTTGGACCGGCTGATGTTCAAGCCCAAGGCACGCACGTGACTAGTTGGACCAAAGCTGTTTCTGCCACTAAGCCACAAGACAAGTTTCCACCGGCAACACCTTCATGCACAAGATATGAAAAGGAATTGAGAGAAGCAGCAACATGACCGGCAAGAGGAGCCAATCTCCGACAGCTACATGCCGATCTCGGCAATTCGCTCGCCCCAAAATCCATTCAGAAGAGCCCCTCTAGAATGTGCTTTGTTCGAAGCCCTGTGGCGGCTGGCATTGAATCAACTAGGGACAACCCAAAACGACTTGACGTGCCTCCAAAATCCTCCCAACGTGCGAGACAAGGCAAACCACACAGGGGATGATCGTCCATTTGCGCGCCCCGCATTTGTTCTTTGGTTGGGTCCGCCACAGTACACCTTCACCCCAAACGTCACATGGGCTACGTGTCTTCGATAAACAACCCGCGCCAAGGGGCTGGAAACGCTCACCCGCCCAAAACGGGAAGGTAAACCCAGGAATCTCAAAGGGCGCCGCTGCCTTTCGAAGTGCTCCAAGGCCGCGGGAAATGACTTCTGTGATGCAACAAGAGGGCCTCCCAAAGACTACCCCGCGATGTAAAGAGGGGATTCCTTTTGTAAACCCCATTGATCCCACAACCCTGTGTGACACAGTGCTCTGACTGGCATGGCTCGTCCAAAATAGGGATTTGACACCCCGAAATTTGCGGTTTTCCTTCTGGTGTCCCTTCAAACCATCGAGAAAAGGGCACCTTTCGCCCCCAAAAAGCACGCCCACCCCACGGATTCCGGGCGCCTGATCCGCGTCTTCCAGGTGTTTTGCCCGGGTTCCTTGTGCATGGAGTCGCTTTTGATTTGGGTGCGGCTCAAAATTCAAGAGCTGGGGCTTCGCAGGTTTTGGTCTTTGGTTCCACTTACCCAGGGGCCATTTGGGCACTTTTTGAGCCACAGCCATTTGGCGACCCCACAAAATGCAAGGCTTCCCAAAGGGCTTGGTTTCCCCGGAAAATCTGCAGGAAAACAACTTCTTTACGGGGCTATTTCCTGTAACTACACCCTTTTCCAGCTTCGGTTTCCCTTTTAGCAACCCCAAAAAACGGAGACCAAGCCTCCAAAAAACGGATACCAAGCCGCCGTCACCTAAGCCCCAGCCACTGCCCAAAGCGACAGGTCCCAGGTGGAACAAGTATGACTTCTCAAATGCCACTCGCCCCTGGTCCCTGGTTTCTCTTGGTTCAAGTGGTTCTTCACCAGGCTTCTAGAATGGCACACTTTGGGACCATCAGCTTCTTTCTTGGTGGTTTGGAGGGGTGGTTTGGTCAGGGGCTTTTCCCTCCACGAGAACCATGGGTACAAATCCAAATCCAAAGCACCAATCCAAACCACCAAAGGGGTGCCTGAAGGTATGGCCATGTTGTTTTTACTCCAGTCCGAAGAGGACAAAAGCTGAAAGCCAGACCCTCCAGGCAGCGATGCTCTCGCAAACAAGGAGCAAGCACCTGGGTCCATGAAAGTGACATCCGCAATTGCTTACCCTGCAACAGGGATCCTTGCATTATACACCCTGCAACAAGTTTCAAATCGGCAAAACGTATCTTTTAAGGAGCCCTGTGCAAATGGGTGGCTTTGTGGTTGAAAGGGCGCTTGCGGCTCCACGCCCCGCAGCTTGCGGCTTTCTGGGACCCCAAATCCCAAACGCCAGCCCACTGTCAGGGACCGAGCAACATGGCAATGGGTAGGCCACACACGCACCAAAACTTGTGTTCACTTCTCCGAGATCAAGACATTCAAGTGCCACGAAGAATGCACCATTTGAGTTGCACACCCCCTGTAACATGAAAAGACAGAAAAAGAAGAAGAACAAAGACATGTGGCAGTGAACGTTCACAAGGAACCTTGAAATTGATGGAGATAAATCCACATCTGAGTCTCATGTCCACCAAAGGGTCTTGAAAATCATAGTCATGCGCGTTGACCAATATTCCGTTCGACCCCCAATGACCATGGGCCACTTTTCCCATGTGGGGAAGATCATAGTTTTAGTGGTTTTCCAACCAATCGTCATCCCCTGTTCATCAGACCTTTTGATCAACCTCCATGTGTGCCATGGTCAAAACTCCTTATGTGGCCTATGGTCCCTTACTGTGAATCATTACAGTGTTTAGGGAGCCTTACTACCATGTGCACGACCATCCCTGTTAACCCCAAGTAAAGCTCTAGGGTGGATTCCCATTCTCTTCAACCATCCTTCTTTTCAAAACCCCGCTGTTCCCCTGGATTTTTGGACGGTTTCCTGAAAAGAACCAGATGCCTGGAAAGAATGGTTTTGATCACCCCTAATGTCATATGGGCGGGGGGCTATCACCTCTCAACCCCTTGGTACGGCCCAAAGATAGCCCTCCCCCCCGCAGCCCCCCTTGAAGGTCCACCGGTTTTGAGAGAGAGAGAGAGAGAGAAAAAGAAAGCACTCGGAGCAGGTGTTGAGCACCGCTTCTCGCCGGCTTCAGGCTCCCGCCAGCAGCGCGCGATTCAGAGCCACCAGCTTGGCCTCAAAATGAGTTGCGATCGCTGCGGTAGGGAATGAGAATTGGAACCCCAAGGAAAACCGAATCCCAACTGGTGGGATCCTTTGAGGGGAAAGACTGGGTTGAAAAGGGAATATGGGTAAAGCCAGGGCTACCCAATGGTCTAAAAGTAGTAAAATCAGGGTACTCAATGGTCTAAAACCGTATATGAGTTATAATCAACCGCAAGGGTGCTCAAAACCAATCTTGAAAAAATGATTTGTCCTCCAATCTAAGTTTGAAAACTATCCGATGCAACTTGAATCCTATACCTCTGGAAAGTGAATCCTGAACTTGCTAGTGCGATAGGTAGGGAATGAGGGAATGAACCTGGGGATTCCCTTAAAGGAAACCACCGGTTGGATGGTTTTTCTAGGGGTCATTCCATGTTCTCATTCCCTGCTGAGAACCAGCAAGATAAATCAGAATCAACATCAACTAGTATTTAAAAAATGGCCCGCCCAGGCCAATTCTGGTTGGGATTCTCCCTACACACCTCCACTTCCCCGGGTTGCGTGGCTCCAACATTTAAACAGCTTGGGGTTGGCGCTGGCTTCGCTTCCACCGGCCCCAGGCCCCTGGGCTGCCCGTTTTCGGATCCCCCGCTGGAAGGGAATAACTCTCAGTGGGTTCAATGGACACTGCCACGAAACACCGAAAGGCCAAAAAGCGAATGGCTGGGAGCCACCAAGCATTGCATATGTTGACGACAAACCTGACATGATCGTGCCCTAAACATGGGTTGCGCAAAGATATGGCCCCCTTGGGAGTGGTGTATCAATGATTTAGAATTGATGAACCCTCCATTTGCACAGCCCAGAAATTTCGCCAACTCCCCAAAGATGGTTCGCTTCCGCTCTAGTTTACCGAAATGAGGACACCCAATATTCGGCCCAATGATATTGAAGTTTGATGGGGTTAGTGGTAATTCTCCCTCCATACAGGGCTTCCGAACTGCAAGTTTGGGAGACACTCTGCCAGCTTTTGATTGCTCAAGAAAACCATGCGCGACCCCAAAGACGGCTTTCGATGTTTTGGCCGCGAGGCCGTACAAATCGCAAGAGGCCGAAGGCGTTTGGGCGATACAAAGACCGCCGAAACCAGGACGCCAGCGATCGCCTTCCCTGTCCAGGGTTTTGTGGTTCGAGTTTTGGGTGGGGAGGTGTTTGAGTTCCTTTTCATCGGCCACGGTGAACTCGTCTGTCACTGATATGGGTGCTCAACAAGGTGAGTTCGCCCCACCCCACCCCCCCACCCCCCACACCCACCCCACCCCATTTTGTTTAAGTAGAAATAAACAACTAATAGCAACAATGAATAAATAACGCATAAATAAATAAAATAAAATAAAATAACATTACATAGTGGGTTGCTTCCTTGCGCTTCCCCAAACAAAACGGAGTCCGAATTTCATTCTGAGAAACCTCCACATGCGCCGTTGAAACTCACAGGGCCACTCAATTAGGGGGAGATCTGGTTGGACCGCTGGATTTTGCCCAGGCCGGTACTTTCACTTTTCACTTTCAAGCGCGACGAAGCAACTCGAGCTGATGGGTCTCGTGATGGAAAACTGGGGACTCTTTGGTTGACATCACAATTCGGTGGGGATTCATGTCCACCAACACCTTTAGCGGTGGTTCCCTAGTGAAATTCATTGCCATACTGTGGATGAACAAAATCCTGCACCACTTTGAAGCCAACGGAAACCATTGTTTGCTCGTACTTACCGGAGAATCATCATTCCAGGTTTGATTCGGCGGTGCAGGATGTCGTCCAACCACAGTATGAGGCCGAATTCGAATGGAGTTGTGGGGGTAGAATCAACTTGACCCAGACTCCCAGTGACCATGAAAGAGAAAGGGCGCGCTCTTTTTGGAGATGATACACAGGATCCCCTCCACGGAAAGCAAAAAAAAAAACGGCACCACCGGGTGTCTGGGTTGAATTCATGGATTGCAGAACCATTCTCCGGGCCGATCCGGAGCCTGAGGCGGCGACGAAATCTTTCCGCACCGTCACCGAGTCCTCCTTCGCCTGCACTTTCGATCGGCTGAGCCACGTGAAGCCATTTGTTTTGTCTTTTTGTTCAAAAGGACACAAAGGGGTCACTTGCAGAGGTGCGCATTTGTGAAAAATCGATGGGGTTCCCTGGTGAATGGTTGAGAAAGCCCATCTAAACCAGTGGAACCCATCTATTTGTAGCCAAACCTAAACAGCACACCTATGGTCTCTGGAGTTCCCTTTGAATTTGCCGCTCTTGGAGGTCCAGAAAAGGAAACTGAGGAACCGCAGGCCGGCCAAACGGGCGGTGGGTGACTGGTTCCCTGGATTTCTGAAGGAAAACTAGACGGACACCGTTCACTTTGTGGGCTCCACCTGTTTGCAGACCCCAAGAAAAAATCCAAGATCGCCCCCCAACCCACCCTTCAAGGTTAAATGGGATGTGTATGTATATGCATATGTATATATAGATGTATATATGTATGTATATCTACATATATATATATATGTATATGTTTCTATGCAAACACACAATAACACCTTTTTTGGCCGCTACATAAAGGTTATATTACCCCCAGGTCCCCAAACGGATATTTTTATGGCCAAAACCGTGAATGGATCCGAAACCCGAACGTCCCCGGTTTACGAGGCAGGAGAGCCGCAACTCAAGTCGGTTGATTCCTTCGTGGGACACCCGAAAGAACCCCCGCCCGTTTCAAACCTGTGGGAAGCGAAAGCCATGAAACCGCCCATCCCCCCTGGGTTTCCTTCAGGTCGAAAAATCCCGAAGCCGCCCATGCCTGGGACCACATGTGGAGAGCACATTTCTCGCCTGTGGTTCTGGTGCGCCCTCCGCCTCATCATCCATAGCATCCATGGCCTTGCAATGAGAGACAGAAACCTGAGAGAGCGAAACTAGAGCCAGAACCAAAACCCAAAGGCGGGAGAGAGAACATCTCAAAGCAGTGGATCCCAAACCCTGCTTCCCCGGTCAAAATGGGACTTGTGTCAGCTAAGGAGGGCGGGATGGAAGAAGCATGATTGTGACTTGGCATCACATCTACCCCGGTCTCCCCTTCTGAGATCGCTGGGAAGCTCTCAGAAGACCCTGTTTGTTCCGAAATGTCGGGGGGAAAGCTGGGAATTCAAATCCGGGAGAGGTGGAAATCCAAAGTGCTGCCGAAAGGGGTGCCGTGCCGATGGGGATGCAAAGGCTTTCCGGAACAGAAGCTATGGTGTTTGGCTGAGGGCATCGCTAGCAACGCTTAGGATGCAAAGCTCAGCGTGGCTGGTGCTCGGGATGCGAAGCGGTCATGGAAGAAGCGTTCGGGACAGCCTAACAGTGCCTCAGGGAGGGGAGGCAAAGATATGCAAGCAAGAAAGCCATGCCTTTTTCTCTAACAGCTGAAAGCTATGGGGTCTGTGCCCAGTGGGGGAGTTGTGCGAGGGCGGTTCCGAGGAGGGTTGCGTGGGGCACAGACCCGGTCAACGTACGTGTTTTGTGCACAAAGGAAATCCTTCTAATTTAGGAGGACTACCTTCAAGCAAGGCTTGCTCAAACATGGAGCTTTGCACAGCTGCTCCCTTTCCAAGAGGGAGTGAGCATGCCAGAAGGGCTCTAGCAAAATGCAGTGGGGTTTCGACACAAGGCTTGACCTATACGCTCCCCCAACCAAAAACAACAACCGCGCTTTGGAGAGGGAGGCAAAGATATACAGGCAAAAACCTTTTCTGCAGGGAGGGGGAGCGAGCATGCAAGAGGGGCTCCACGTGTCTGAAAAGCAAATCCGCATTGTAATGGGAATGTGACCGGTGCTGCTGGGGATGTTACGAGTGATGCTGGGATGCGGACCTGCATCACCATCCACATTGAAATTCAACAAAGAAAAGCTGCACTAACTCCCCTAGACCCCCAGAATGGAGCTTGAGAACTCGAGCTGATGGCTCTTGTGATTTTGAACTGGCATCACAATTCGGTGTCCAGTTTTTCTTAGTTGGTGCAGGATTTCGTCCATCCACAGTCTGGCCGCCGAACAAAACAAAAAAACTTTCGCAGCACCCCCCGAACGAATCTCCAGTTCCGGCGAAGCCATTGGGAAGGCCGTCTGGTGGTGGCCTTTGTTTAGGGGGAAACGACCGAAACTGAAGGGTTTATGGTGGGGTTGCGGTTTTCTCCTAGATGCCCCACAACCCATTCTAAATATTTCTTATGGATGCCTGACAAAAGGCAAGTATTGGAACAAGGACACCTATTTACCGCAATTTACCATGGCTTTGTGGTTCACCATTTGCAATATTTGGGGCATCCACCATACACTATAGCAAATGTATATCCCATTAACAACCCCCCCCCCGGGCCTCCAGCGATAGTTTGGGGTAGAGGAAACCATCTACACTCTGAATCCCACTACAGTGTCCTCCAATCTAAGTTTGACATCTATCCGATCCAACATGAATCCTATACCTGTGCAAAGTGAATCCTTGGTGCTCTGTATGTGAGAATGATTCCCTCAAGCTTCCATTTGCTTAGGTACCCTGCAAGGACAACAACAAAAAAAAACATGTTGCCAGTTTAAAACCAAGAGGGGCAAACAAAGATCATTTCAGCAAATGGAAGTCGGTAGGGAGTTGGATGATTTTTCTTGGAGTCATTCCATGTCTCATTCCCTGCCTATCACACCAATCGCAAGTATTGGGTGAATCCTCACCCCAACGAACATGGAAGTGCACAACGCCCCTTTCCACAACGAAAGCGATCTTTCTACAAGGGTGCGAAGGCGCCAAACCATGTTGGTCAAATATGTTGGTCGCTGGGAGAAAGACGCCACCTTTTATGCCAAGATGGGAACATACAAAAAACATATCTCGTTTCAGCAAATGGAGGTGGAGAACCAGCAAAAGTTGGAACCCAAGTGAAGCATCGAATTCGTACTTGCCTAGATCGTGAAACCCTTCTGCTTCGGTGCCCATCATATGGAAGACAGTGAAACGTTGCTAGGTTCTCCAGCAGAGAGGTTGGAATCAGGGTACCAACTTTTTTCTGCAGTCTATTTTGGTAGGGGGGGGTTCCTCCCAACCAAAAAAAAGGGGTGAAAGAGCGGTTGCACCTAATTAGCTGGGGGACCATCCCAATCCAACCACTAAAATAGGAAGCCTAAAATGGGTGGTGAATCCACCCATCCCAACCAAAATGGGATCCGAACCAAAACGGTTTTGACCACCACAGCCAAATAAAAGCCAGTGAAACCTGAGAGTCCTCAGATCCCCCACCAAAAAGCGGATAACCTTTAGCGGGGTCAAATGCGGAAACCACCACGAAACACCAAAAGGATCTGAAAAGCTAAGGAGCTAAAAGGATGGCTGGCTTCGCCGCCAGGTAGTGCATATGTTGACGACAAACCTGAGATGATCGTGCCTGCAAAAATGGGTTGCGACAAGATGAACTTAATAATAATACTACTACTACTACTAATAATAATAATAATAATAATAATAATAATAATAATAATAATAATAATAATAATAATAATAATAATAATAATAATAATAATAATAATAATAATAATAATAATAATAATAATAATAATAATAATAATAATAATAATAATAATAATAATAATAAAAATAATAATAATAACAATAACAATAACAATAACAATAACAATAACAATAATAATAATAATAATAATAATAATAATAATAACAATAATAATAATAATATATTTATTAGAAAAAAGAAGAAGAAGAAGAAGAAAACGCGTCATTGGACAGGGGCGACCGCCCTTTCACTTCGCCGTCCACTCCCAAGGCCGGGGCCCCGGCCACCGGCGCACTGGCCATCGCGCTCTCCGCCAGGGCCATGGGCGCCGCCTTGGCCTCGCAGGCTGAAGATCCGGCGGCTTCGGAGAAAAACTTGGCTGACGTTGGACATGGCTCCCGAGTTATTTCCCCTTAAAACATCACCCCCACCAAGGGACACTCACCTTTCATGGGCCGAAAAGGTGATGTTTAAAACCACCAAAAAGGCAAATATGGGGACCCCTGTTGGAAGGGGAGCAACAAAATATCAAATTTGGATTTGGACTTCAACCACTAAACCACCATAAGCATAAACATGTGTTCCCAAAAAGGGTACCCTGAAGACCCTGAAACACAGACACAAATCAGTCTCTGGGAGTGCCTCAAATCTTCCCTTGGTTTCGGGCGGCCGCCCTGGCTGAACAAACATGTTGCTCCTGCTATCGTGGCCGAACTTGGTTCTGAGGTGCATGAATTATTTGTTTGATGTTTATTTTGTTGAAGAACGAGAAAGAAAGCGGTAAACTCACCTGTTGCACATATTCACAGCTTTTTGATAGAACCATGGGTGATTTTTGAACCAACAGTAATCTTCTCTGAAAGCTGGCAAATATCACGTTGAATGCTGTGAAAGTGTTCACCGTGCCTTGCCCATTTACTTTCACGCATCCTTCTTCTCCAGCCAGTGCCCTAGCTGACAGGGGCAAATGGCTAGTTTTCTACAAAAAGAGCGAATAAAAAAAATGAATAGAATCAACCCTTGGAATTAATGGAACCCAGAATGAATAAAAAAAAACTAAATGACCGATGGGTTGTTGGGGGTCACATGCCCCCAGTCCATTCGGAATCGGTCGAAAGTGATTCCAATGACATGAGCACTGCATGGAGAAAATCTACAAAACGCATGGGCACTGCATGGATGAAGCCCGATGCACTGGCAAGAAAAAACCCATCGCAACTGGCGCCAGGCGCGGGATTTTGTGAGTTTGTGAGGACCAACTCTTGAGTCTGGCACCATCAGCATTGGCCCGCCACGGAAATTCATGCCGCCCAGCGGTTCCATCAATGGCACCTCAGGTCGCTGGAACTTCGGCGCGGCGGGTTCGCCTGCTTCCTACTTCAGTGGCCAGCCGAGCAAAAAACACCCGGCCGTCGATCTCGCAAATCACTGTCCCCTCTTTATTAGAAGTTAGAGAACCCCAGATAGCTTTCAGCTATCCGGGGAAAAACAAAACAAAACCTGGGGCCTACCAATGTCTCTTGAGTTTCAAAGGAGGAGCCAACCAAAAAATCGGACACCTCCGATCGGGATCTGGGCAAAGACGTGGGGCTCCGATCTTTGCTTCGGCCGCTCGGGATCTGGGCAAAGATGCTTGCGGGCCTCGTCTGAGCGTCGAATCCGAGCGCGAGGCCCCTGAGAAGGGGAAGTCCGTGAGCTCCTGGCTTCAGGCAACAGCAGTGGGGGGGGAAGGGGCGAGGGGATGGGGGGGGGGAAGGGGGTCTTGGGGAAGGGGGTCTTGGGGGGAAGGGGTTTTTTAAGGGAAGGGGGTTTCTTGGGGGGAAGGGGGGTTTTTGGGGGAAGGGGGGTTTTTGGGGGGAAGGGGATGGGGGGGGGAAAGGGGGGGGAAGTGGTGTGTTGGGGAAAGGGTGGGGAGGGGAAACCAAAAGGGAAACCAAGTCGCACCCGGGAGCTGCAAGGTATTCCCAAAAGGAGCTTCAAAAGGGAATGGGTGGGTTTGGGAGAGAACAAAGTGTGTCCGAAAGAGCACTAAGCTCAGAAGACCAGGAAAAGACGAATGAGAAATCCCTGCATGTGATACCACTCGACAGAGAGTCACCTTAGGGTGGTGTCCGGGAGTTCCCAAGACCGGTTCCTCCCCATTCGTTCCGGCCTTCCCTTCTTTGCGTAAAGAAGTCAGGTGGCTACCCATACGCGACGATTTTGCAGCGAACCCCTATGACCAGAACCCTGACAACAAGGCTTCCGCAAACTAGACCAGTATCTACCCGCCTGACTGCCAGGGACTCCACCAGAGGGGCCATGCTAGAGGAAAATGGTCTTCCACCCAATTTAACGTCAGGTTCCGTGGCGTTAGTGGACAGGGTACCTTCTTGGCCAGTTTCGGCAGCAGCCTCTGCCCAGCCATCCAAGTAGTTCTCGTCGTCCAACACGGAGTCGTCCTCGCACTCCCGTTGGATGGCTTCAAGTACGTCCCAATGGGGCCGGAAAAAGTGAGTGTTCCTTTGCTCTCAAAAAAAAAGTGGGTGTTCCTTTGCTCTCCCATAAAAGACACCAGCCCTAAAAGGGTAGTTACCCTACACCGACATGCCCAAGTTGTTTTCCCCAACTGGTGGGTGAGAACCCCTTCGTGGGTTGTTTTTTAACCACGTTGGCCTGACGTCCAGCTCACGTCCGTGTGTCCTTTTGAAGGAAAAAATGGATGGCCCCGTTTTTTTGTTTTTTAACCGAAAAAATAGGCCAGGGGCCCCATCTATAGGTCTTTTTACCACCACCAAACAGGACACCTGATGGTGCCCTTTCGGAATTTCTCTCCTTCCCCCCACAAAAAATCCACGACGCGAAAGCGGGGGAGCTGCGAGCTGCGCCGGTCCGTGCCGCGCAAGGCCAAAGGCCAGCCGATGTAGCCCATCTCGGCCGGGCGAAGGAACGAAGGGACGAAGGAACGAACCCCCCCTGGTTTGATGGACGTCCCTGAAAAAACCAAGGGGGGAAAAATGAACAAATGTGTTTGTGTCAGTCTCGTGCTTTTTGGAGGGTACCTGCCTGGGTTGAATAGAGGTCCTCTAAAACCAGGAGGGGAAAAGAACAAATATTTGGGCATGGGTCAAAACCCCGTACCCCCAATCCTCACTAAAATGGAATAAAATGGGTGGTGCACCTTTCCCAAAATGGTACCGTTGGTTTTGACCCACAGCCATTTGTGCCAGTCTCGCTTTTTGGGAGGGTGCCCCCCTTTTTGGTGGAAATACAACTTGCTGGTGCTCAGTGCTCAGG